TGCCCCGACTCAGGTCCACTGTGCAACTATATTAACACGCCCCCCCATCCGGGGGGGCGCAACTTCTCGGGCCCCTCTCAGGGACCTGTGAACTTCGCCCACATCCCTTTTGGGGGACCTGTAAACCTTGCCCGGGAACGCAGAATAAAAACTTCTCTTTAACCCCACTTTTGTGCGTCCTCTTCTCCTTGCTGTGACCTTATAGTTACCAAGGGTGGGAGGAAGAAGGAAAGGGGAAGTTTTTACTTAGGAGGCAGTGAGTTTATGTTAATGGTGATGGGATGATTTGGAAAAGAATTTGGAAATGGTTGCATAACTTGAAGAATGCAACCAATGTCACTGAATTGTACATATAGAAATTGTTGAGGGAGGTGTATGTTTTGTTACATAGATTTTTAACACAATTTTTTAAATAGAAGAGGAAATAGGATGAGATTATCCATCAAATAACTCTGAGGGACAAAAACCAGAGAAATGAGGCAGGGTGGTAAAGGGAAGAGGAACTTTCAGGTTCAGAGAGACAGACACAGTTGGTGGCAGCCTGAGATATCTTTCTGGTGTTCCCTTCATCACACCACACACGCCAACAGGTCCTTTCCCCACTTTCATTTTCAGTTCAGCAAGAGAAGCTAAAACATGGACTACCCTGAGTTTTTCTATTCTCTAAGCAGCAAAAACCCTTCACCTTTCAAATCAGTTTTAAATGTGTCACTTACATGCCAACAAGTTAACCTCTAGTTATTTCACAGCCATATACGGTAAAATTGGAAAGGTATGACTGGCTAAGGTCTGGGCCAAATTATACACTGAGGAGGAGGGAAACAACTGTGCATATGTGTGCCTGTGTGTGTGATCCACAGGGACAAACACCCAGAATTAAAATAGTTGAGGGCGGAGGCCTTCAGGATCTTTTGAAACTCCCAGGTGGGACCCAGGTTGGACACACATCCTGCGTGGACCTTTCCTGCCCAGCCAGGATATCCTGTGTTTGTTGAAAGACTGCACAGACAAGCCCTGACCATTGTCCTTCCCAAAATCTGCAGTGAAATCCTCCCCAGCCTGAGGCAGCCGCCCCAGGCAGAGGAAGAATAACTCTGGAAAGCGCTTATCAGCATCCTCCATGGATTTCCTCCCCTCCCCCTGCTAGGCCCCTAAGGCCCAAGCTCCTTAGCATCCTCAAACAGAACCCTGGGAGGCTGGGATGGGGTCAGCAACCCTGAAGCCTGCCCCTTTGGCAACCTCCTCTTTTGCTTAGACCTGCCTCTGTGCAGCTCTGAGTGGGCAGCTGAGGCTGCAGCTGGAGTCTTAACCCAGGGATGGAGCCTGTGTTGGGGACTGAGGCTGCTGCCCTCCGCCCAGGCTGGCCGGCCCTGCTGCTGTGGTTCTCAGCCCTGAGCATTGCCTTCTCCTCGTCAGCTTCTCTCTCTCCATCTCTGATGCCCGGAGTCAGAAGCAGCTACAATTCTGAAAGGAGTTTCCTCGGTCTTGATAAATGCAATGCCTGCATCGGGACATCTATTTGCAAGAAGTTCTTTAAAGAAGAAATAAGGTCAGAATCTCAATCAAATAACTCTGAGGGGCAAAATTGGTTCCCTTCACGTGAAAATGTCCAGGAATCTGTTGAAAACAAATCAGACTGTAATTTATGGGTGGGAACTGAAACAAAGCCATTTAATCATTGTAATAATGGTCTGACGTTGTGTCTGGGAAGAGTGTGGGTGCAAATTCCAGCCCTAAATGCTAACTCCAAAGTCTCCTTTTGAAGTGGGAACATAAAGTTTTCATTTCTATGATCAGAGTAGCCTGGGATTGTTGAGTTCACCAAATTCATTCCTAATAGGAGGGAAATAAAATTTATAGAACACCTACTATGTGACAGACATTTTAAAGCTATTTTATTTACTCCTCACAAATGTCTTGGGAGTTAGAGTTTTGTACTCATCATTCAGAGAGCAAACTGAGATTAAGTGACTTGCCCAGTGCCATCATGTAAGCAGCAGATCTCACATTCAAACCTGGGCAGTTTGTTTCAAAGATTCTAAGCCAATTTTCTGTTACGAGATGTTGCATTGATCAGAGAAAACCTGAGTTTAGTAAATTAGGATGCATGTGGCTCCCCAAAGAATGGTATCACACTCTGGAACTCAATCCTATCCAACATGCAGTTAATGAACCTTTACTATGGCCAAGATCCAGGGGGTACTATGGGGACACCACAACTCCAGTCATTGCACTCCAGAGGGTTAGGCTTGTTCTCATGCAGGCCAGAAGTAAAGTTTATAGGACCTCTAGGAGCTTGACAGGGGGGGCATTCCAAATGGAGCATGAGGAAAGTCTTCTCCAAAGGGAAGTATCCAGAATAAGGCATGAAAGGATGGGCTGGAATTTAGTGGGAGGGGAAGGGCGTAAGGCAGAAGGACCAATTTAAGAAAAGCCCAGAGGTATGGGGAGAGGTGAGAAATGCTTAGTGTCTAGAACATGGGGTGAGGCCCCAGAGGAGGAGGTCGAATGGTAAGATGAAGGAAGGGGCCTTGAATGCCATGACAAGGAATTTGAACCTTAATCTGTACACCAGTTGCTCCTAGCCCTTTCAGTACAAAAGACCTTTTGTAATATGCCCCTTTTCCTCCCCACCCCGAAGGACCTCATGCTTGTAAGACTTGGTCACCAAACAAAAAGCATTAATTAACAATAATCTTATTTCCAGTTGGTACTACCCAAAGACATACTAGATTATTCAACTAAATTACTAAACAGAAGTAATAAATAGAAAACATTATTTAACAAAAATGTTAAACATCTTTTGCAGGATAGTAAATATTTTATGGAGTCTATATGGTCTTTTCTTATGAGGGACACCCTGAGTGGTACAATGGTTAAAGCACTCTGTTGCTCACCAAAAAGTTGGATGTTCAAGTCCACACAGAGGTGCCTTGGAAGAAATGCCTGGTGATCTAGTTCTAAAAAATCAGCCATTGAAAACCCTATGGAGCACAGTTCTCATATGGACACATATGGAGTTTCCATGAGTCAGAACTGACTCGACAACAACTGGTTTTTCTTATTAGACATTTTTTTAGGTATGTTTGAATGTAGAAAAGGTGAAAGATGCTCAGTTGAGGCAATGGTGAGGGTGGTAAACAAGATGACACCTGTGTTTCAGAAAGACCTCAGAGAATGCAAGTGTGCAGAATGATGAAACTGGGACAGGAGGCTGTGTAAGACTAGTTCTGATCCAGGAAAAAAAGGTGATCAGGTACAGAGTAGAACAGCAAGGATTCAAGTTGGTTTAGACAGACATTTTGTTGATCCTCTTGATGTAACAGGAAATAGTGATGCTGATTTTGAAACTGAATTCAAGATTTCCCACTTCAGGAATGGGATGGAGATGACCGACAACACAGGAAAAGTAGTGAGGATTCTTCTGAGAAAGAAGTGCATGACAGTATGGACATATTTTAATATTAAAGAGGGGGAAATGAGGGGATTTGACTGAGGAAAAGTCCCAGGTTCACATCCTTCTCCAGATAAATAAACAAGAGTGCATGCATCTTAGAGTCAGTCCCTGGGTGGTGCAAACAGTTAAAATGCTTGGCTGGTAACCAAAAAGGTGGAGGCTTCAGTCCACGTAGAGTCACTCAGAAGAAAGGTCTGATGAGTTCCTTTTGAAAAATCAGCCATTGCAAACCCTACTGGGCACAGTTCTACTCTGACGTGCATAGGGTTGCCTAATTTTAACTGATATGCATTACAGTTTATTTCTCACCAAAAAACAAACAAACAAACCAGTTCCTGTTGAGTCAATTCTGACTCATGGTGACCTCACATGTATCAGAGTAGAACTGTGCTCCCTGGGGTTTTCAAAGCCTGATTTTATGGAAATAGATTGACAGACCATTCTTCAGAGGCACCTCTGGGTGCATTTGAACCGCCAATCTTGCAGTTAGTAGCTGAGCACTTAACTTTTTGCACTACTTGGGGACTATTCCTCACCTACTGGAAATAAATCATTTCTCACCTGGCAGGTATTAGCCAAATTCAGAATAGTTTTGTGTTCCATTGAATTCAGGATATTACTCCACCTCCCTCAGGATTCGTTTTCCATGTGAACCTGAAAGGGAAGTGTGCAGATGCAAGCAGGAAAACACCAGGCTGGGCAGGTCTGTGCTCACATCCCCCCTTTATTGAGAACACCCATCCCCATCCATCAGCACAAGGAAGAGGGCCAGAGTGGTTCTGGGGAGAGGAATTTGTTCATAATCTTGTTTTTTTTCTCTACACTTTAACTGTTTTTTTAGCCTTTTCTTATTGTGGCAAATATACATGTAACAAAACATTTGCCATTTCAACATTTTTTACATGTACATTTCAGTGGAATTAGTCATGTTCATTTTGTTTAACCATCATCACTACCTGTTTCCAAATTAAATAACTTTCTTATTATAAAAGTAATCATTTTATTTTATAATCTTTAGGAAATATTGATTATAGAAAATACAAAAAAAATCATGCATAATTCCTCAACCTAAAGAACACCACTTAGCTAACATTTTGGTGTATATCCTTGCCATTTTTCTCTAAGTATGGATAAATATAAATAAATTTTGACAAAAATGGGATCACACTACGTATACTCTTAGAAACTTTTATTTAACAATATTATCAAGAATAGCTTTCCACATCATTAAATATTCCTCCACAATTTGATTTTTAATGGTTTTATACTATTCAATTGTATCAATCAACCATAATTTATTTAAATAGCCCACCACTGTGAGACAGCTGGGTTTTTTTTTTTTTTTCCAACTTTTAAGTGTTATAAACAATACTAAGTTGAACATCCCTGTGACTAGACTTTTGTGCACATCAGTTGAATTTTGGGGTAAAAAATATGGCAAAATTTTTAGATTGACATGTGTGTGTGTATCATGTGTGTGAATCTGTCTCCAAAGGAACACTTCTACCTATGGAACTCACTTCTTACACATTAACAAATACTTAGTATTACTGTTATTTTTTCGTTTGTATTTCTTCTGAGTTGAGCCTTTTTTCAGGTTTGTTGACCATTCATATTTCTTGTTTCCTATGTGAGCAAGTACACAGCTTTTGTCTCTCTTTCTAATGGTGTATTTGTTTGTCTTGTTCTTGTCGATTTCCAAACATTTCTCCTGTTCTAAAGAAGATTACCAGGATGACTTAGGAGAAAGCAATCCAAAACCCACAGACCTTGGCCAAAATGCTATAACCAAGCAAGCATTAGCACTCCAACACTGCTTATTCTCAGTAATGATTGGACAATGCTTATATCCACGCAGCAGCTAAGGACAGATGAGCTTCC